AGGTAGAGGAAGAAGAGGCAGAATAAGAACAGCTGGCCCAGGATCGGGTGTTGTCTTTTGTTCTCTGTCTAGTACATTACAATATGTGTGTGTGTGTGTGTGTGTGCGTGCGTGTGCGTGTGTGTGTGTGTGTGTGTGTGTGTGTGTGTGTTCATTTCGCATCAATTTTTTTTGGAAGAATGCCCTGCATCTACGTCCTCTCATTTGTCTCTTGTTTAGTGTTTGTGCTAAGCACTATTATGACATACATGTATTTGTTCATTTCAAATGCTTCAAAATTTTCAACAATTTAAATTCTAAATGAAGCGAACTTGAATACAGTATATTCGAATATTCCCACATGCCTAGTCCACACCATGAAATTTATGCAATTTGCAAACATGTTGTAACAGAGCACATGGAGCACTGGTAATTCATGCTTGTGAGTGAAATTTGTAGCTCATTCATTTCAACTAATTTGGTAATTCTGCATGTTGAGAGATACATAACAATATTGACTTTATTGAACAGCATTAACGAGCTCATTTGTCGCATTGTCACTCATAGCATGTCGGCGTTTACGTGGCACAGTTTTTATTTATTTGGTTATTTGCAATACTGTCGACTCCAATGTTGGAGTCATTACAGAGGGCACATTGCAGGTAGTATACATTCATGGAGAACAAACAATAATATTCCAACTGACATACATAAGCCTCACCCAGTACCTTCTGGCCTGCTACAGTGCGCCGTGCAAAAAGAAAAAGAAAAGAGGAAAATAGCAAAGGTATGTGAAGCATTGAAGCACTACTGTAGATTACGCATGGTTTCTAACACTGCGGTGATTGTGGATAGTGTGTCGGCATTAGTAGCATTTGCATTCAGTTTATTCCATTCGCGTATTGTTAGTGGGAAAAACGATTTTCCAAAGACGTCACTGTTTTAGGAATATTCTTGCAGACTGTATTTGTGCTTATGACGAGTAGGGCGTGACTGTGAAAATGTGACGTACTTAGACACATCTACCTTGTAGTGGCCATGTAACAACTGGTACAAGAACCTCAGGCGTGCCTTTTTTGCCCTAGTAGCTAGTTTTTCAATGCCAGAAGAAGCCAGAAGGTTAGTGGGAGAATCTGTACGTTTGAACTTGTTGTGTACAAACCGTATGGCTTTGCGTTGTACTGCCTCTAATTTACTAATACCACTTAGCGTATAAGGAAACCAAACTACGTTGGCATATTCTAATACTGGTCTTACGAACATGGTATAAGCCAAGAGTTTTGCGGGCGCTGGTGCAATTCTAAGTCGTCTTTTTAGGTAGAAAAGTTTACGCAGTGCGGCCGCAGTGACGTTAGCTATGTGTGTATCCCATCTCAGGTCAGACGTTAATGTAATGCCTAAGTACTTATGCTGCACAACATTAGTCAGTCGTGAACCATGGATGGTGTAGATGAATTGCGATGGATTCTGCTTACGTGTTACCGTCATAGCTGCGGATTTTTTCACATTGATGGACATTTGCCACTTAGCGCACCAATCTGCTAGCTTGGTTAGACATTCATTGAGATTAATGTGGTCTGTGTAGCTAATTACCTCCTTATAAATAATGCACTCATCTGCAAACAGTTTGATATTACAGTTAATGTTTGACGTGAGGTCATTTATGAAAATTAAAAATAATAGTGGTCCCAAGACGGAACCTTGAGGGACCCCAGAAGTTACGGGGACTATGTTTGATATATGACCTTCATACTGCACGAACTGTGAGCGATTTGTTAGGAAATTTTCTATCCAAGAAAACAATAACCCCTCTCTTATCGCACTTTTCAGTTTAATTAGTAACTTTCTGTGACATACGCAATCGAAAGCCTTAGAGAAATCAAGTAAAGTTATGTCTGTTTGGCCACGATTATTTATGGTAGAAGCTAGATCATGAACTACCTCCGTTAGCTGCGTAACAATGGACAGGCCACTACGAAATCCGTGTTGACTAGGAGACAAAAATTTTATTTTCTCGAGAAAAACAGTTATGTGTTTGAGGATGATATGCTCTAGTAGCTTACATGAAATGCTGGTGAGGGATATCGGCCGGTAATTTGAAACCAATGACTGTTCTCCTAATTTATGAATAGGTATTATTTTTGCAATCTTCCAGCCATCTGGCAGCTGGGATGAAGTAAGCGACTTTCGAAAGATTAACCCAAGAAACTTGCTACATCATTCCGCGTACCTCTTAAGGAACTCGTTAGGAATATCATCTGGACCACTCGATTTTTTAGGATCTAAGTTAAGAAGCAAGTTCAGTATTCCTGTATCTGTGACTTCTAGGTGATCGATGCTTGGCGAATCGAGGGATAATACTGGAGGAGTGGCACCATTATCAGTCGTGAACACTGATTGAAAAAAAATGTTGTATTCGTTAGCCTTTTCCGTTCTTTCCCCTGAATCCGTGTGCGACTGTGTATTATTGCTAGTGCGAAGGTATCTCCAAAATTTGCTTGGATTGCTTTTAATAAAGCTTGGAAGTGTAACACTAAAATAATATTGTCTGGCAGTTTTCTTTTTTTGCTTAAACTCTGATTTTGCACACTGCAGCTTCTGTTGAATGGATGATTTACACTTATGGTTTTTCGCAGCCACACGCAATCTTTTTAACCTACGCTTGGCCTGGATAACCTCACGTGTTATCCAAGGATTATTCCCTGGAGCTTTCTTGTGTTTCTTTGGTATGAAGTTAGTGACACAGTATATAACAGTAGATTTGAAACTTAGCCAAAGTAGATTAGTATCACTGGATGCGTCAAAAGCTAGCTGCAAAAAGTTTTCGAACTCATGTGCGAGATAGGTTAATACGCTGCTATCGTCAGCTTTTTTGAAATCAATTACAGTTGATCGACGCTGCTCACATGCAATACTGGAGTCAAGCGGCAGCAAGCATATGACTATGTGATGGTCTGATATGCCGTCAACTACGTCAGTGCGAACACGGTCTTCCGGGAAGTGCTGACTAATCAGTATCAGATTTAATATGCTCTCGGCAGTGTTCTGTAAGCGGGTTGGAGATAACACGATTTGCTGAAGGCTAAAGTTCAACATTATGTTTATAAGAGCGTCCGAGGCAGATGATGTGTGGTTTAGCGTAGTCCAGTCAATGTCTGGGAGATTAAAATCTCCCATAAGCAGGACACGCTGATTTATCATTGCACGCTGATTTACCACTCCACTACGTTGGTCTTGCAGTGAAAACATGCAATGAGCTGTTTGATATGCGCAAGAAGCACTGCATTATGGTGACCGTGGGCTACACAAGTATTTAGGCTTAACCTTATGGCCAGTGTGCTGATGGCCATTTCACAGAGAGACTGGCATGACTGCTTTTTCTGTGTGTCTGCCTGCATGCTGTTACATATATTATTCTATGGTGTTCATGTTGTTCACTGTTTGTTTTGGACTTCGTGCACGTGCATAGTTTCACTGCACGGCATACACATGGGGTAACTGTGGATGACGCTCAGCCCTGCAGTTGTGTGTGTGTGTATTTGTGCACACGTATGCACTGTTTATGAAGTATACGGTGTACAGGTGTAATTGGCAGTACTTTACGCAACTTACTGGGGAAGGGTGGAACAGCGAGTCTAAGTGTTGTCACAAGTTCCACAGCAATGACATTATAGCCTTCAACATTAAAGGCTATTGGGCAGTGTGGTGGCATCAATACTTTGGTCGCACAGATCTGTAGGTGCCGTCAGGTTTGTGTCAGTCACAGTCATTTGAAATGACTTCGCAATTTTCATGAAACAGACGCCCCAAAACTCCGCATCCATGACCCATGTCGGCAAATTCTAAAGCCACAGTATCTTTGCGTAGATTTAGTCGGTGTCTGTACGCAGGGAACAGCTGTACCATGACACTCATGGTATGCCTCTTACTAGAGGCTAGATTTTTAGGCACTAAAAAAGTGTGTTTTAGGTGCCAAAGACAGGCAGATAAAACACCGATTTAGGCCGTCAGAATCAAAACTAAATTTCTACAATAATAATTTTCTACAATAAATTTCTACAAAAATTGAAATATCCCAAAACAATGATGTCGGTGACTTGTATCTATGGCAAGAAGAAAAAAAAAACTATATTGTTTAAGATAGCTGAATATTGGTTAAGATAGCAGAAAGGTACCAACGATTAAACATAAGCATGCATTTCCCATGTGATTCGTAGTATGCGATCTTTCGTTTTGATGTCTAGCATTACGCTTCAAGTGTCCTCCATTCAATTAACACTTTCCTGGGTCTCTTTCGTTTCATTGTGACTGGGAAGGGCAGCGCAAGAGCAAATAACCAGACCACTAACACCACAGAAGAAAGAGATGCTAGGTTTAATCGCGTAGGACCGATTTCTCCCCTATCGGGAAACACCTTAAAGGGCCCCTCACTACGTTTCGGCATTTTGAGCTGACAAGCGTAATGGTGAACTGGGCCTTCCAGATCATTCCTGTTAATATTAGCAGAATTAGATGGCGCGGAAGAACGCTTAATTTCTACTGAATGCCACTTGCCCTTCTCGCGTGCATGCGCCCCAAGATTTACGGAGTGACGTACAGCAAGGATTGCTGTTTTTACGTCACTCCTTTACGTTGACATTGGTGAGCTGACGTCGCATACCATACGCTCTTCATCAGAACTTTGTTAAATGCTAGCTGTATCTAGAAAAGCAGACGAAAAATGTCCCGTCTCCTGATTATATCCTGCATGTAAAACGGTACCTCATTAAGAGCATTGCATGTGACATTACTTTACTTGGCATGTGCAATTCGTGTGTTCTGCTGTGTAGCATGAATGAGGAGTACTTTGGTTTGGGCTAGCTGCTTAATTTTATTTTGAATGGGAAGCGCAAAGACAAAGGGAAAAGAAAGACAGTGCGCTTTCTCTCTATGTCTTTCTTTCCCTTTGTCTTTGCACTGCTCTTTCAAAATCAGTATTATAAATTAAACCTGAAAAAAAATAATAAAACATGCAAACAGAATCTCAGCTTGTTATTATATTTATCTTTGTTTTGAATAGCCTCGACATGCTATTCACTAATTGGCCCTCGTTTCGCGTCCATCTCGGTGGACCGGTCGCTATAGGTTCGCGTCCACCTCGGTGGACCAGTCGCTATAGGGTGCTCCACTGCTGACCCGAATGCCACTGGTTCGATTGTGGTCGCGGCGGTCACATCTAGATAGAGAAGAAAAAGTAGATGCCCATGTACTGTGCGATGTTAGTGGACGTTAAAGAACACAAGATAGTCAAAATTTGCGGAGACCTCTACTACGGCATTCCTCATATTCATATCGTGATTTATTTACGTAAAACCACATATACTACCACTGCTGCTGCTACTACTACTACTACTACTACTACTACTACTACTACTACTACTACTACTACTACTACTACTACTACTACTACTACTGCTACTTTTACTACTACTACCCCATTTCGCTTCCGTTTGTCTTTTCGTCGTTCCTGCATCGTGCCTTCGCCAACCCTGACAACGCTTAGCTTGTGTTTGGTGCGTCGTCTCTGACCGCAGTTTCAGCGAAGCGTCGTGGTGTATCCCGGTCACAATACATGATCCTTGCCAGCCTTTCCTAAAGTACACGCACTGACTGATTCATCCCATAGAAAATGCTAATACACAACAGAGAATGCCGAAACGGCACAACATCGATGGCGTTTGTGCACTAGTAGGTTGGGGCGTGTCATGCACGCGTGATCTTGCTTACGCATGTTGTGCTTTGTTGTGCTTAGTAAGTATGCATCATGCGATTATCCAGCGCGCTACCGAAGAAAACGGGGAACGAATAAGGCTCACGATGGCTACATGGGACGAGAGGCAAGAGATTCAGGCTTGCTTCTTTGCATCATGCTTTGGTGGCTGGTAGCTAACCAAATTGAAAAATCACTGTGATAAAATGCCTTTCATTGGGCACGCAAGAACTTCTAATGTCTTACTGCAACTTAATATGTCACCTAGAGAGGGACGCTTAAATAGTAAATTACAAACAAAACAAAAGCCGCGTGCATATCACATTTTTTACCCTAAGGTGCCGCAGCAAATGGGTTACAATGTCAAAGAAAACATGCTTTCATTGATACAACACACTATGTCCTCTTTATAAGCAATTTATTCTGTCATGAAACTAACAAAAAACAACTTAATAGAAACATTATATCTGATACTACATTTTAGAATCTTAATTACTATTGTGCGAAGACAACTGTTTAGGTACATTCATTTTCGAATGCGAGTTTTATTATGAAATGCTTGACATAGGAGCTTTAACCGCAGTATATTTCAATGCAATGATAGCAACTCCCATCTTAGCTCATTTTTCATATTGTTAGAGCTGTCACTTTTAAGTAATGGCTTAGGACAAACCTTGAACCCCTGTTCATTATTTTTTCATGTTTGTCACTTAAATTCATATGCCAAGGGATCTCATACGGCACAAGCGTATCCACGCATAGAGTGAATGTATGCTGAATACATTGTTGACTGTAAGCATGCCAGCGCCTGCCTCAGGCTTCGCCGTACAAAGTATAACAATTTGGCAACCTTCGCCACCACTGAATCAACAAGAGCATTCCATAAGTGGCACTCCATGGTTTTTCATTCGTTCTCCAGCTATCCACGGCTGCCCAGAAAAACCTGCTCTTCCTTTCCCACCACAACACCCAGGTTTTCAGGGTGGTTCTTCAGTTCCTTCAAGTCACTGGACAGCTGTGTGCAGAAGGCGGTCACCGTGTCCTCGGCCATAGACATGACTTTTATTTTTTTGCCCTATCCTTAATTATCTCTCCTCCATCCCCTGTAGACGCTGAGACATGCCTCCACTTAGGGCTGCAGAAATAGCGTCTTTTGCACTCCTCATGCTCTTCCTCCAATCGCTCGCAGCATATCAGCTTTGTCTTCGTTGAACCTTGTAGTGTTCGGAAATATCAATGTTGTCTTTTTTACATGAATAACGGTTTAACAACATGCTCAAAGACAAAATTTGGGCTTGAATAGCGTTCATATAGGCGCTCATGTGAAAAATAGGCATTTACAGGCACATATAGGCATTTAGGCACGAACACCAAAAATAGACATGTATAGGCACTATAAAAAGACCATGAAAGTGCTTTTTAACCTCTAATTCACGCCCATATATTAAAATGACATGATAGGAATGCAAGGAACGAAATTGGCATTTGCCTATAATCCGGTCTCTGCTTACCGTATTTACTCGCATAATCCTCGCACTTTTTTTGCCAGAAAACTGATGCAAAGTTGGGGGTGCAAGAATTACGCGGGGAAAACTTTCCACGAAAACGCAGAGAGCGAAAAAGAAAACGAAATGGCCGCAAATCGGGATTCTCACGCCAGCAACTTACAGCAAGCTTTAAGAAGTATCTCACGCCAGCAACTTACAGCAAGCTTTAAGAAGTACTAATTAGAGGTTACCTCAACAATAAAAGCAGAGGTTCAATACAAGGCAAGATTTATTTGAGACACAAAAAGCGGAAGCAAATAGCCGAAAATTAGAATACCATACGCGAAGCTTGTAGGCGTTGCGGGCATAGCGGTAGCGGTCGGCGCTCAACAGGAGCCCTCAAAAGGCTAGCGTAGGACGTCAGTATTGGGCTGATGGCTATTTAACAGAATCGTCCGCAGTTTCCTTCTGAAAAAATAAAAGTTTACCATCAATCCCAGTTTTAGGCACACAGCAGGCGCAACGCGCGTCTTGGTGGCTTTCAGCTGCCGTCACCAGTAGCGAACACAAAACTCGAAGGCTCCATAGGGCCTACCGGTGGCCCTATTGCCGTTGTTTAGCGCATGATTTATCACTTGCAACTTGAAGCAGCCGTGTGGCTTCGGTATCACCTCATAACGTGGCAACATTACCAACACAACATACAAAACACGCCGCACCGCGCACTGGCCACTTCGTCTTGGCTTGGATTGGACTTAATCTCCGTGCAATAGTACGCTTGATGCTTAAGAGATGGCGCCAGATAGCACGCTTTATCATCATCAGTGGCTGGAACAAGCAGATGACATTATTGCGGGAGTTTTTGGGGGTGCGATAAATACTCGTGGAAAAAAAATCGTATTTTTCTTGGGCGATGTGGGGGGTGCGAGAATTATGCGAGTGCGAGGATTACGCGAGTAAATACGGTATAACACTCATGAATCTCCGCTGCTTCAGCTATAATGCATACTTGTCAAGTCTACCGGATTGGCCGCGAGACTCCCGGATTATGACCGTTTTTTCCGGTTGTACGGTTGTCATGAAAATCTCCCGGAAATCAATTTCTGTGTTGATCTGGCTGCATTGACAAAAAAAGCAGCTCAGTCCGCTCCAGGCTTTTCGAACCTATATACCCCATTTTAATACACATGAGTTTAATAGGCGTTCATGTAAACGTACAGTATAATCAGTGATGCAAAACTGCGGCAGATACGAATGCTTGAAATTCCCCAGCCAAATTTTACTATGTACAATAGGCCTCAATTTAATGTTCCAAACACATTTCCTAATTGTACATTAGGCCTCAATTGAATGTTCCGAACACATTTCCTAATCGTGGCGGGTGATACAAAGTTTAGTACGGAAACCGTCGAACGAAGGCCGTAAGCAGCGTACTCGTAGCTTCGGAAGTACACGTGTGCCCGGCGCACGCACTGTCTTCTACAGTGCGTGTGATTATCGTTGCCACAACCGTTGTGGATGAAACTACGGTCGCTCTTGAAACAATCATGTATGGCAACGCCGTAACTGACCGAACCCCGAAAGTGTGCACTCAACCAGTCAAAGCAACGCTGCTTTCCGCAAACTCTGCGGACAAAACTGCGGCAGATGCTATCGTAGATGGCATAAAACGACTTAGTTTTGAAGACGCGTGCGCAACCAAACGCATAGGGATTGTAAAATGAACGCAACTGCTGCGCACAAAACCGTGGGCGCGGTGACGCGCGAGGGCACGTAGCAGTAGGTTAAAAGCCATAAATATGTAAAAAACAAAAAAGTAACAGTTTCGCCGCAAGGGCGAAGCATTAAATGCGTCAGCAACTTGGAACGTAACGCTGAAAACGGCAAGCAGATTGAAACGTGCAGCGCGCTGCTCTCACACAAATTGTGCAAGAAAACGATACTCGCAGGACAAGAGTGAACTGACAACGTTCATTGCTTCGACACGTAATGCGCTTTTCAAACCAAAACGATGCACGATACACAACCAGAGATACAGATGAGTACAAACTAACAAGTGCCCTAGTTGTTATACTTTGCTGTGTATGAAAAGCGCGCTGTTTTCGCAAAAGGGCCTTATGCAGAGACCAAAGTGACCTTTGTGGGCCCGGAAACTAACGCTTTCGTTTCAGTGAAAGCCGAGGGCACACTATTCTCCCGCCACAGGATAAGCGCTCGCGCACAGGCATCTACCCCCCCCCCCCCTCCATGGGGCAAAGTACACGTGAGAGATAAGCACGCATCGGCGCCGAGCGTGGGTGACTTATTTTTCTTTCAGTGTTCATATATATAGATATGTATACGTATACGGTAAAAGACGGTGGCGATGGTGACGGCAAAAAAAAACTGCCTGGACTGTCTATATAAAATAAAAAGGGACCGAAGGCGCTTTGGCGTTCCTGTCATAAAAAGTCTAGTAGTGAGCAAAGCTTTGACCCGCGCTTTTGCGGCAGCCAGCTGCGCCATCCGGTCCATTCACATGTGTCCTAGGAAAACACACGCGAGTTGTTTTGACCGAAATAGATTTTGCTAGTTTGTGGATCCTTTGAGACTCTCACCTTAGGGAAAAACTCTACCCGCGTGTGTTCGGCCACTCCTAGCCACTATAAGACCGCAACGCTGATGCTGGCGCTTGCCACCCCCTTTTGTTTTTCGCCATGTTCGTTTGGTAGGTAGGTAGATTATAAACTTCATTAGAATCTAACGAGGAATTACTGGCCCGGGCTAGGCCTCCAGGAGCTGTCGTCCGCTGAGCATTGTGCGATGTCTTCGGCGATAGCCCTGGCTCGCTGAACAGCCCAGATTTGGTCCACTGCACATGGGCTGAGAAGGGCGGCTCGCCAACGCTCAGCCAGTCGTCCTGGGGTACACTCATGCTCGTCCGAGTTGTGGCGGCGAACACTGCACTCACACTCCCAAAGTATATGCGCCATGTCGGCTGTCTCGTGCCCGCACCACGGACAGCCGGGTGACGGGTGCAGCAAGGGACACAGTCTATGCAGGTGTCGGGGATTCTCAATTGTGTTGGTCTGCAGACGCCTCAGATCAGACGCCTGAGACCTTTCTAGCTGCATGTGGGGTGGTGGGTAACCTCGTCGCGTTTTTCTGTAATGGTTTAGGTTCTCGTGGAAGGTAACCATGATGTCCTTGCAGTCCTCGGGGATCTGTTATCGTCGTCGTAGAGGTATTATGTCCTCCGACCTCAGGTGCCTCGCAATCGTCAATGTGTCGCACATCGGCGGCCCTTTCGTCTGCGTCGTGGCAGGTTAGCAGTCTCACGACGAAGTGGGCATCCTCGTTGTGGTTCGATGGGAGGTCTGATCTTTGGTCACTGTTAAGCTCTCCCACATGCGCGGGGAACCACTTAGGAGACGTGGCAGCAATTGCACCAGACTTGAAATCTTCGGCTCTGGCGTTTAGCATGTGCGTCACCTTGACAGATACCCATCCTTTCGTAAAGTTTCGGACCGCTGTCTTGGCGCCACTCACGAGAAGAGTGGTCTTGTTTCCACTATGAATTAGTGCGAGGGCTATGGCCATTTCTTCTGCCGCCTCAGACGATGGAAGTCTCGCAGATCCCGTCACCAGAGTTCGTTCCCTCGTGTCGACCACCGCCATGGAGAAGGCAGATGTCGATTGGCGTTGTTTTTGTCGTTCGATCTGCTGTTGTCCTCGGTCGCGTCGGGGGTATCTAGCAGCGTCGACAAAAAGGACACTCTCTCGGCTGCCGTGCTCTTTGAGGACCGCCTCCGCTCTGTATCTGGGCCTTTCAGCATCGTGCACTGGGTGCATGTTTCTGGGCATATTCTTTGCAAGTATAGAATTCTTGACCGCTGGAAATAGCGCGTCCTTCAGTCCCCGCATCCTGTGGTAACGAATCTCGAGGGAGTCGAGGATAGTTCTTCCGGTCTTGGTGCCCAACAGTCTTTCGAGCTGCGCAATCGTCTGAGCCTTGATGATTTCGACGAGCGTGTTTCGCACGCCCAGCTCAAAGAGCCTGCAGTTGGCAGTGTAGTGAGGTACGCCTAACGCAGTTTTGTAAGTCCTGCGGATGATTGTGTCCAGCTTGTTGCTTTCGCTTGTACTCCAACCGACGTAAGCAGCAACGTACGTGATGTGGCTTAAAGCATACACCTGTATTAGTCTCCCTAGATTGTGCTCTTTCATTCCTTTCCTCTTATTCGTGATTCTTCGTATCAGGTTCGTGGCGGCTGCCACTTTCTTCTGCAGCCAGATGGCCAGCTCGGAATTGGCACCATTTTCTTCCAACCAGAGGCTGAGGACTCGTATCTTGGACACCGTGGGTATGCGGACTCCTTCTTTTGTCGTGACACACACGCCCGTATGACGGACCTAGGCCACGTCCCTCAGGGGACGTCCCGGTTTCCGAGGTCGATGGAGCAGGATCTCCGACTTGTTTGGAGCGCACCATGTTTGTTTGTCTTCGGGTTTTTTTTTTTTTTTGGTGCCCTCCCCCTCGTTGCGGAAATCTCCTGGATTCAAAATCCTTGAAGTTGGCAGGTATGGTAATGTCTTGTGGAAGGGTTAATTTGGGCTATGTTGTCTATTTGTCAAGACACATGAGAGGCACAGGAATCATTAGAAGGGAGGAAGGAGTTTCACCAAGTCTCCGGTGGCTGAGATGGCAGCATCTCTGTGCACTTCTGCTGGCGCACTTTCACAACTTGGCAGATTTTTTTCCAGCTTGGAACATTTTTGGTGTCTTGGCCAAATGAAGTGATCCATGATTGGCTTTTGTGATGCTTTTGATACTGATATGGGATGGCTTCACTTGTACAAGGAATCAAATACATATGGACGGGGAGCTTCCTATGATGTGTCGCATGTCACAGTGTTTTTGGGTAGACAAACAGCAGTTCAGCTAGCTGCAACAATGAACACTCTTCTCCCAATGGACACAACTCCAAGTTGTTTTCTTAGGCAAAGGCTATGGCCTGGAAATTCAAAGAACCAGAAGGTGCAGCGCTAATCTATGACAGTTTGTCCGTTGTTTGATTTTCATTTCCGCATATGTGGCAGATGTCTAAAGCACTGCACGGGCCCGGGCCGGGTAAGGCATTGTTGGATCGTGCCCGGGCCGGGCTGAGGCCCATGAGCTTCGGGCTTGAGTTGGGCTGGGGCCTGAGTCAGGCCCGTAATAGGCCCGGGTCTTTTATACAGGGTAAATATATTCAGTGTTATTTATATCATTTGAAAATTACAGAAATAGGCATCTGTATGCTACCTGGTATGTTCCCTTTACTTTGTATGTGTTCAAACATTGATTACTGCAGTAATTAAAGAAATAAATGAAACAATTAACATTTTACCTAATTTACAACTATTAACCTTT